CTTCCACAATCTTTTTTGTTCCCTTCCTCTTCTCATCATCCCGAAGCTTCGTCGGAGTGTTGCCGGAAGCCATCACTGAGCCGCCGGAGTCAGTTCTGTCCCTCTGCATTGCTTCCTTCCTTGCTACCATTTCCATGTAAGTTTCATGTTTATGAATCTTGAAACCTTGAAACATAGTTGTAGTTTGTTAAATTATGACGTGTTTGTGATTTGGGGTTTTAGTTGTAATTTGTGATATTGTTTAATTTTGTGATTTTTTTTAGTTGATTATATTAGTGAATGTGATTTGGAATTGATGATAAAGTTGTGAGAATTGATTGGACTAGTTTAATTGGAAATGTGTTCCAAAAAGAAAAAAAAAATTGAATGATTTAATATGCTTCTTTTATTATTGTGAATTTAGTTTTGCACTCTCACTCTAGTAGGATGTTTGTATTTAGATATGCTTTTTCCAATAATTTTGAATTATTATCATTGGTTATGGAATGATCTTGTAACAATCGTTTTTTGTTATTGGTTATGGAATGGACTTGTAATTATGATGTAGTGTTATTATATAGCACATATATGGTAAAAGTTAAAGCCATTATGGGTGATTTGATAGATGATGGATATAGATTTGGAACTTGAGGAAGTAGCCTATGCTAGGAATATGGTGAATATGTGATAAATATGAGTTAGATTATGTAGTTGAGCAAGTTTGAATATGTTTGGATTTGGATTTAGATATGTAGTAATGTTGAGTTTTATGTTTGTTTTTGCTTTGATGTAATTTCATTTAATTATTGTTTTTGTGTTAATTAATATTGTTAGCAATTAGGTGCCTTTGATAGTTTAGAATGTCATTTGACAAGGGTCGGGCACAATTATGCAATCAGATGTGTAATGAATATTGAAAGGGAGTGAAATCATTTCTTGAAAGAGCTAAAAAATACTTTAAAAAGACGTTTGGTTCATGAATTAGAACCATGTGATTAGAATTATTTTCGATTTACGTGTATGTTTTGTGAGAAAAAATATTGTAACGAACAACGAACCATGATTCGAATCAAGGAACGAATCCCCAAACCAAACAACCTCTAAGTACTTTTGAGAAGATTAGATGTCCATGTCGGGATTGTTGTGATGGAAAATAGCATTTTTTTAAAGTAGTGGAGGCTCACTTATTAGAAAAGATATACCCGCCGGCTTCCTTCGATATTATGGTCCATTTAGCTGTACATTTGGCTTTAACATTTTGTTCATTGTACTTTTCTGGGATAGAGACACGATTTAATTGGCGAGAGAGAAACTATGTGATCGGCCATCTGTGTCATCACAAGCACAATTATCAATATTTAAACATCCTGGTCTACCATTGGGAAGTAGAAAGATAATTCGTCTTGATAGCATTTTCAATTGTTTTCAATTGCTTTAACTATTTAACCTTTTCTATGATAATTTAACCTTTTCTATGCTTAACATTTTCTCACTTAAATGTAGATATCTAACTCGCCTGAGTGAACTAATGAGTTATTTAGGCATCGTTCACTTCGCGGATTTAAGTTTTCAATTCGAGCTGAGATGTGATATTTTCTGAGAGCTTTTCACTATAGCAGAAAAAATTAGATGTGACATTTTCTGAGAGCTTTTTACTGTAGAAACTAAAACTGAAAACTCGAATCGGTGAAGTGAACGAAACCTTAACTTGTCTTGTGGTCCCGATATTCGTGTTACTTCTTATAATGGATGCATGGTTAATGGAGTTAAGTTCTGGATCGAGGAGCGTGACTCTAGATGAACGACGCAAAGTTATGGCGTTTTCTGTGCTTGCATCTAATGAGGGCTCCATACCAGATTTCTTGGTGTTGTTGAGCAAATTTATGAATTTACTTATGTTAGTGATGACTATCTTGTCCTGTTGTTCAAGTGTAGATGGTTTGACACATCAACACGATCCAATATATATTAGTTATATTATTAATTATATGGTTGTTGTTATGAAGCACAACCACTATCAATTATATGGTTATTAGTATCAGCCATTTACAAATTAACAAATCAAAATAATAAAAAAATAATTATATAAAAAAAAACAGTAGCGGCGAAAAAATGCGCCGCTACTTCTAATGTGAAAATCAAAATAATTTTATTGCAAATAAATATATAGCGGCAAAATTTTTCACCTCTAATCTCACTTTTTCTGTGACAGAGAGACATAAAATATAATAGTGACTTTCTCTTGTTATGAGAAAAAATTTTGCCACTAATTGTAGCGGGGAACTTCAAATTCGCCGCTATAAGGCTATAGTGACTAGGTTATAGCAGTGAGTCAGCGAAGAATATTTTTACCGCTACAAATAAATAACGGAACAAGTCTTTTTATAGTGGGATTTTTTTCCGCCAATAATAACTTTTTTTCTTGTGGTGGAAGGTATGTAGCATTAAAGCATTTGCTTCTTTTATCAGCCAAATTACTGCTATTAATTAATTATAACTAGTTTTACCTTATTTTACGATAACGGCTATTATTTACATAATAATTAAAATTTTCACACTCTTATATATTATAAATCAATACTAAGGAAAAAAAAAAAAAAAAAAAAAACGGAAGAATGGCAGCTGAAAAGAGCATCTTAACACCATAAAAAAAAAAAAATATTACAAGTTTCTAACATAATCTTGCCAGGCCAAAACAGCGAGAGGTGGTATATATATGTATAGTTTTAGTATAGTATGTTTGGATAGGATGTACATCATGTAAATCTATATTTATTATTTATTGGATGTATAACTGTTTATTGAAAAAGTATGCTTAAGTGCCTTTATAACTGAATTTTCTTTTATTTCATCTCAATTATCCTTCGTTCATGAATTGCCACGCTGTTAATTAGCAACGTGGGCTGTGGGGCTCTTTGCATTGGTCAGAGGTTACGTAGGTAACCTTTTTTCCAAAAAATAAAAATAAAAAAAATAAAAAAAATTCTAACAAATGTAAAGGGAAATACGTACTTCTTTTTCTCCTTCTGAAGAAATGAAAAACTATTTTGTTAGTTTTCCAATTCCAATAGCGAAGCGCTACAATTTTTTTTTATTAAATATAAAAAAAAAATGCTTGAGGCAACGCCACAATAAAAAAGGTGTGCTTTATAGGTGAGTTCTATGTTGGGAAACTTATCTTTTATTTTCTGTTTTTAATTTTTGAAAGGGACTCATCTTTTATTGATCGTGGTAAAAATTTATAATACTTGACAAATTATTTAGAGCATTTTTTAAAATATTTTAGAAATAATAAAAGTTACATAGTATTTAAATTATATTTTGCTTATACGACAAAATAATATTAACATGACTTGTAAACTCTGTTACATGTCTAAAATCATGATTTCGTTATATGTCTAAAACGCTTGTAACCTTTTCTTTTTATATTCTAATTTCAAAAAGTCATAACTTGCTAAAACAATTCTCGATCAGATATTAATTAAATTTAAAATACAATAAGTGCTTTTAGCAAAGAAAAAAACAACTAGCTAATAAAAAGAAACATGGTCAACACACACTTAATTTCTGTTCTTTATTTTCAAATCCCTACCCGATTCGAAAGAAAAAAGAAAGGAAAGAAACAAGAAAAAGAAAAAATCGCTGATTTTCGGAAGCCACAATTAAGAGGGTCTTATGATTAAGATTCAAAAATATGCAAAATGGAACTGAATTAGCAAGAATCTGTGAACTGGCAAGTTAATTCAAGAAGATTAAGGGCCCGTTTAGTTCCCTGACTCGAGTTTTTAATTCGAGTTGAGATGTGACTTTATGTGAGAGCTTTTTACTGTAGTAAAAAAGTTAGATGTGACTGTTTTTTAGAGCTTTTTACTGTAGCAAAACTCGAATCGGTGAAATGAACGGGGCTTAAGAAGTCAAACGTACTACAAGCATGAAAGTGCTTATGTAACGGCCGGTTTTAAGTTTCAGTGTAAAGGACCACTTAATTCCATAGTTTTCTTGGACGTTTGAAACAACAAAGGCGGGCTTGCAAGTTGCAAAGCCAATATATGTCTTCAATTTATTCTAGCTCCTTCAAATGTCAACATTTTTTCTATATGTACAAGATAGTTGTTGTACTACGTACGTATCTACTTTTGCTTTCCTATACATAGCATGTATTACAGAGAAACTGACTTATAAGGTTTATGATATATTTTAATCGTATTACCAAAAAAAAAAATGATTATATTTGATCTAGCTATCAGCAGCATAAAACAAACTCTCTTGCTTCTGTAAATGTATGTTTGTTTAGTAATTTCTTGTACTAATCTTTTGTGATATCTTACATAAACAGTTGGTAATTGTACTGCTCATGAAATTATCCTTTAACCAATCTCTTAATATGCATATACAAAAAAAGTTTTTACATGTTTACAAGAAAGATCCAAAAAGGGAATACAAAAAGGGAAACTAATTACAGCCCTTTATTTATGACCACATCGCTGACGGAAAAACCAACAAATTAAAGAGCCGTGCAGAGGAATAATAATCAAGATTACTATCAAAAGAACCTAACGTTGCCTACTTATATTTACTTGCGTATGTATATAATCTAACACGTGTTGATTAATATTTCCTCTTTCTATATTTCTAGCCTAATTTGGAATATTCAAGTACCATGGGGCATTGACTCCCTCTGAATTGGACCACTCCACTATAGGATGTGTGGCGTATACCAAATATCTATACAACTCATTTTTCCCAAAAAAAAAAAAAAAATACACTAATAATAAAAAAAAATTCTATACGGCTCAATCTTCAAAAGAATTACAATTTTCTTTCATCTCCCAAAGTCAATTCTCACCAAATATCTATACAACTCATTTTTCCCAAAAAAAAAAAAAAAACTAATAATAAAAAAATTCTATAGGCTCAATCTTCAAAAGAAATACTATTTTCTTTCATCTCCCAAAGTCAATTCTCTTAATCTATAAATACTTACAATATCCTACGTTCTTCTCCATCCAAAATACCATCGTTTCTCTTTTCACCATCTTTCGCATCCTTCGACTCCTTGTCAATTCCCCACATTTCTCAATCTCATTCTAATCTAGCAATTACGTACATACACACACCCAAAACCATGAAAACCCTAATGGTCACATTTCTCATGCTAGCCATGCTTACGGCTTTGGCCATTGCAACACCATACCAAGATAAGCCCATTCTTACTCGTCATCGTGACAATGATACCACAACAAGTAGTACTAGTGTTACTGAAACCGAAAGCCAACAAACAACTAGCTCGCTTCGGGGAACCAGCCGGTTCCTCGCCTCTCAGCGGCGACTTGCCGCGGCGATGACATGCGATAAGTACCCGAAGGTGTGTCGCGCCAAGGGCAGCGCCGGGCCCGATTGCTGCAAGAAGAAATGTGTTGATACCTCATATGACAGGCTTAACTGCGGAAAGTGTGGGAAGAAATGTAAGTTCTCGGAGATATGTTGCAAAGGGAAGTGCGTGAACCCTAGGTCGGACAAGAGGAACTGTGGTGGTTGTAACAATAAGTGCAAGAAAGGGAGTTCTTGTTCGTTTGGAATGTGCAGCTACGCCTAGAGAAAAATGAGAAAAAATATTGACACACTGCTCTCAAGTTCTTTGGTTCATCGAGAAAATGATCTAGGGATATATATATTAATTATACCAAAAATTAGCTTAAAAAGTTTTATCTCTTTTAGGAATAATTGTGGAGTGTGACTATAATAAAGGTGGGCCGTTCCTGAGGCTTGCCCATATTTGTTTCAATTATTATTCTTTCTGTTGGTTTGTTTTGTACAATATGTGTGTACAATAGATATGAATATTGTTCTTAATGTTATATAATATAATGGTTTTTTGTTTATGGAAGCATTATATTAGTTGTTTCTACTCTTTGCTGCACATAGTATTATTTGCATGGTTTGGTTGAATATATTTTAATACATATATAGGTGGCTTTTCCCCCGGCTATGTTATATGATAGTGAATATTTGACCATTAAGAGACAACATATATCTAAGATGAGTGTGACAGAAATGCGTATGTTAAGATGGATGAGTGGCCATACGAGAATGGATCGCATAAGGAATGAAGTTATTCGTAGTAAAGTAGGTGTTACACCAATAGAAGATAAGGTGCGCGAAGGCCGCTTGAGGTAGTATGGGCATGTCCAATGTAGACCGTTAAAAGCACCAGTTCGTGCTTGGGAGGACATTCTTATACCTAATACTAGGAGAGGGAGGGGTAGATCAAGAATTACGTGGACTGAAGTCGTTAAGAAAGACATTCTAGATCTAGGCCTTCAGGAAAGTTTAATTTCGAACAGAGTTGTATGAAAAAATGAAATTCATATAGCCGACCCCAATTAGTTGGGATTAAAGCAATCTTACGATAAGGGTTGTTTAGTACCCTCTCCTTTCAGTCGAACAAGTCACTTTCTTCTTTACAGCCAAACGTCAAACTACTGGGAATAGCTCGAGAAGAGAGACAGGGCGTCCACTTTGTTACCTCTGAATAGACGAAAAGCTAAAAATATATGTTTTAATCTCTTTTGAGGAGAAACCATGTAGGGTAGTAATCTAAAGGGCATCTATATAATACCCTCATCCTTTAATGCTATATTCTATATAACAATGGATTCCTTCTTATTTCCACCTTAAGGTAAATTGGTATTCTAAAAATCAATCAAAACAGCTTTGGGGTTACCCTTGATGGTCATAAAATCTTGGTAAGGACCTTATTGGTCACATTATACAAGCTAATCGGTATGAATTGACTTTAACGTCCAGGAAGTTTCCAGGAAAGTTTGTTGTTGTATATAGGTGGCTTTTCAGATCAATGTAATTTGATATTTAGAACTATATATTATAAAAGCTAGAGGAGGTTATAAAAATAAAAAATAAAAATAAAAAAACTCAAGTCAAAAAGAAAAATAAAAAATAAAAAGTCAAAAGCCATTCTAGTGGAGAGATTTTCTTTCTTCTCTCATTAATACATGTAGGTATAGAAAATTCAATGTCCAGAAACAATCTGAAACAATTTAATTGTAAATGTAATTTATAAATTGTTATTCCGTTAGGAAACCAAACAAGACCTTTTAGCCGGGCCAAATCTTTATTTAAATTTTAAAAGAACATCTATAAAATAGAGACCAATCAACGAAATGTTCAAGTGATCACTAATAATAAATACCAATCTAAAGAATAATTCACTGCAAGTGTATACTTGATCTGAGCGCTCAAGTTTCCAATCAAATACTTTGAATGTCGGTATTTCCTCCAAAAGATTCTCCGCCCTAATATTTATTTATTCGAGTGTGTCATCTAGCCTTCACCGGATATTATCCATTGCACCATGTGTTATAATATAAGATAAACCAAGTCAAATTATATATGTATATGTATATAATATAATCACATATATATATATATATATATATATTCGTCCAAATGGGGAGAAAAGATCGACGTAAAATTCTTCACAAAAGCAAACGATCATAGACGTTTTAATTAATCCTCCACGATTTAACATTCGTTTTTAATATAAAGCCTCACGCCGATCCTCACAAATACAAATTCAAACATACATAATAACATGATTATCATTTTTTTTTCTTAATAGTATCCAAGTACTATATATCCAAACCAAGGCCGACAGAGTTGGAATGTCAACTGGCCTAATTAGCTCGTGCAGTCACGTCTTGTGGAGCCACAAAAATCTCACCAAACGACTAACATTATCAAATCCCGAAACACAAGTCGTGTTAACCACCTCCTCGTTTACTATATATATATATATATATATATATATATATATATATATATATACATAACTTCATCAATGCAAGCCTCATATAACAATTATGGCTACTACAACTACAACACCCCAAAAACCACTCCCAAAAGTGCTCCCAAGAATATCATGAACGTAATAGACTCGTGTTGGCGTGGCAAGTCCAGTTGGGCAAACAATCGCCAAGCCTTGGCCAACTGCGCAAAGGGTTATGGTAAAGACGCCTTGGGAGGGAAATATGGGAGAATCTACACCGTCACAAACCCGTCCGACGACCCGGTGAACCCGAAACCCGGCACTCTTCGTTACGGCGTGATCCAAACGAAGCCGCTTTGGATTGTTTTCGCCAAGGACATGGTCATTAAGCTCAAGAATGAGCTGATTGTGAATAGTTATAAGACCATAGATGGGAGAGGGGCTAATGTGGAGATTGCGTACGGACCATGCATAACGGTACAAGGGGTTAGCCATGTGATCATACATGGGATTAGCATCCATGATTGTAAGCCTGGCAAGCCCGGCATGGTTCGGAGCTCACTGACGCATGTCGGGAACCGCGGTGGGTGCGACGGCGATGCCATTAGCATTTTCGCTTCTTCCCACGTTTGGATTGACCATTGCTTTCTCTCACGTAGCAGCGATGGGCTCATTGATGTGATTCACGCTTCTACTGCTGTCACTATTTCTAACAACTTCTTTTCTCAGCATGATAAGGTAAGTAGAAGTCAAAACATCTCTTCTTTTCCTTTTTTTTTTTTTCTTGTTTTTTCGGCTAAGCACTTTTGTGGGCCAAAATATTTCAATTGCTTAAATGTGGAAATGGCGATTTATATTGTATTTCCGAAGGTCAATTCAGGATATTATCGTCAGCCATAAAATCATAATGAAAATTATCTGACAACATTCTGATACGTAGTTTAAAAACCTTCTTTAAAATACTGAATTATCGCTAATAAAGTCAATATATAAGTTCCAACTTCCTCAATTTGAAACTATAAACATAAATATATAGAGGGGCAGTCTCCAGGTTCCTAAAAACTTCAAAAGCTGCTTTTTGAAAGTATTTGGATGATTTGACAAAAGTGTTTCGATTTTTTATAACAGTTTCCGGTCAAAGTTACAAAATATGGCTTAAAAAAAACACTTGTAATAGACTTTGAAATTTATACTAGAGTTTTATTAAGGCATTATAAATTTCATTTCAACACTTCTATTGCTTATTAAGAAATATAAAAAATCATTTTAACCCATTCCTTTTATTTTTCTATTGGTTAAAAACAAAAGAAATTCTGCAAAACATGCCCAAAGTGTTTGTACATAAAGTCGTATATCCAAAACATATTTTAGATTTTTAGGACCAAAAGTATATTGTATGGTATTTTTTGAGATAGTTATGGAAGTTAATTTTATTATAGAATTAACAAATAAGAGCATTTTATGGATACCACGGATTTTGATTATTCTCTTTTGTGGTGATTATTCTAATTACAAGAATAACGTGTTTTGACATTATCAGTGACAAAAGAAAATAATTGAAAGCAGTGTTATTTGTGAAATACACGTGTTACAAATAAAATTTACTCTATTAATTATCATGTTATTGTTTTCTTTCTTTGTCTCTTAATATTCTTAATTACCTTATATTCTAACAAAGTATTGTTAATTAAAAGGTAATGCTGCTTGGACACAGTGACAAATTTACCGCTGATAAAACAATGAAGGTCACAATAGCCTTTAACCGCTTTGGTCCTGGACTTATTGAAAGAATGCCAAGGTGAGACAACTACTATTTCTAGTGGATTAATATTTGCAATAATTCTATATAGTGAGAATTAGTGTATAAATATGAAATCTCTAAAGTTTTTTTTTTTATATATAAGCAAATCTCTAAAGTTGTTACTCTAATTATATTAGTTTACCAATTCATCCCAAAAGCTTAAGCTGTTAGGAGGTGGGCCAATAATAGTTTTATACTTTAACACTTCCCCTCATGTGTGGGCTAGACAATGGACAATTGTGTGGGTAAATCAATTGAAAAAACCCAACACGTGAATATTTAAGGCTAAGATATATTAAAGATCCAACACATGATGACAATTTTAAATGGGGATAAAGAGTGTAATTACAGGAGTTTAAACTCAAGATCTCCCGCTCTGATATCATATTAGTTTACCAATTCATCCTAAAAGCTTATGCTAATAAAAGGTGGGCTAACAATAGTTTTTATACTTTTAACAAATTATGAAAAATATTTCAGGGTGAGATTTGGGTATGCCCACGTGGCGAACAATAGGTACGACCAGTGGAAGATGTATGCCGTTGGTGGCAGTGCAAATCCCACAATTTTCAGCGAAGGGAACTACTTTGTGGCTCCTACGAATAGTGGTGCCAAAGAGGTTACCAAAAGAGAGGCGGTTAATAAAGGTTGGAAAAATTGGAAATGGAGATCCTCAAAGGATGTGTTCCAAAACGGTGCTTATTTTGTTCAATCTGGATGGGGAACTTGTTATCCATATTACACTCCATCTCAGTCATTTCCGGTTGCTCAAGGCTCCATGGTTCCCGCTTTGACTTCCAATGCTGGTCCTCTTCCTTGTGTTGTTGGTAAACCATGTTAGTATATTTTCATGTTAAATTAGCTTTTTAATTTCGTTTTAATTAAGTAATTGCACCCTTTTGGAGCGTTAATTGTATGTACTAAGTAAACACTGTCTTCTTCTTTGAAGCATGTATTTTTATACTTTGAGGCGCAATATATATTGAGAGTTGTATTGGATGATCATCATGAGTTGGCGGATTTTAATTAGTTAGTTTATGATTTAGATGAATCATGGGAACTCTTTATTTGAATATAATTCCCACTTCTTGGAAATTTGATCCTCAACAAATTAAAGATTTTCAACAACTGGAATTGGCCAATATTTACCCTTTGATTTCCTTCAAATAGGATTATTACCATGTCTTTGTTTCTAATTTGTTGGGATAATTAAAAATGTATTTTTATATATGTACTGCTCAATTATATATGAATATTATTTTATCAGATCAGGTAACTGAAAGCTAGAAAATAGACAGATGGGAGGGAGCAGTACTATTTTTTTTTTTTTTTTTTTTTAAATAGTGGTAAAAGCAGTACTAAAGCACATATTGAGAATTTAATAAAAATCTATTGTTTTTTTTTTTTTTTTTAAATAGTGGTAAAAGCAGTACTAAAGCACATATTGAGAATTTAATAAAAATTATAAGCAAAGACATTAATCTTTAATAACCAAACAATTTGCATAGATAGCCGAGAAATAAAAGTTAACCTCGCTTCACAATGTTGAAAACTATTAAGACAAAAATCCATCAAGATACACGGAGAGATGAAGGCTGATGAACAAAAAAATATATATATCTAAAACAATTAAATTTAAAATTAAAAAAAAAGTGTATAGGATCACTCATATTCTTTTGTGTCTTTTAAAAAAGCCTGTTCTCATTGCTTTGTACCCCACATGTCACTGGTGCGGTTGCTCTAACTTTCCGCAAGTACCAAATTCCAGCTCCAATTCCTAACACTCCAGCTGCCGACGCTGCACTCACTGTCCCTGCAACAAAACATTTCAATATATATATCTTAATTTATTGAGAAATTTTATAGCAAAATTATGTATCAGTACTAAAATGAGTGTTTAATTCTAAGTGTCATCGTGTTAAAATATTGCCATACTAACACATAGTCAAATTTAACGAAATTTTACAATAATCTGACAATATATAATTCAAAACTATACTAATCAACTAATCATGTCTTTATGTATATATTTACCTGCAATAACTCCAACTCTTCTATGCTCAGAACCACTTTGATCTGCAACATTAACAGCAGCAAAGACTTATGATCACGAGAATTAATCTCACAAACTTAATCTGATTGTGAAATCTAATTAGTTAACAAAAGAGAATAATTATCTAAATTACCATACCATCGCAATAAGTAGTCACATTTCCTTTCCCACACAAGCACAAGAAATCCTGACTATGTATATCAAACCCACAAGTCCCACCTCCTTTGGTCATGTCCTGGCACTGAAGGCAACGCGTAGTCACCGGAACGTCAAAGTCAACCCTAACCCCATACTCAGGCACCTGATCATACGGCTGAGTTTCCCCAGTGTTTCTCCAGTACACACTAGTATAACTCGCACAATGACTCAACAAGAGCCTCAAAGACTCGGTCGCTTTGGGGTAATAGGAACAGCAAGAACCGCTCATCATTGCCCCGACCACCGAGCCGCATTCGGGCAAGTGGCGGCAGAGATAGCTGGAGCTGTCGCAGGACGAGTCGCAGCGCTCGGGAAACCGCTCGCAGAAGACGGGTTTAGGCTCGATGATCACATCGGTTCCGCTGCAGTTGAAGAAGAGGTACTCGTTTTGAGGGGACAGAGAGAGGTGTGTGCTGGCGTCGAGGCTGAAGGCTCGGGTGGAACGGAAGTTGTCGCCGTCGTGGCAGTTCCACATGAAAGGGTCGATGATGAGGATGTGGGGATCGGTCCCGTAGTTTATTGTCCGAACCGGGTACCGTCCGGAAGGCGTTCGGAGATCTAGATTGCCGGATTCCGAGCAGACGAGAAGGTGTCTGTAGTAAGGGCTTCCGCAGCCGTCGTCAATGCCGAAGGGGTAGTTAATTGGGATTTTGCCGCAAGAGGTTCTGCAAGGGGTTCTTGCAAAGGATGCACTTAGAGTACTGATGATCGTGAGAATTATCAGGGTTAGGAGAGAGAGAGAACATGTTGGAGAATCCATTAGGGACAGATTTTATGATCTTGGTTTTGCCATTTGAGTGATAATTTGTTCGGTGGTTTAAGAAAAGTGGTATTTGGATGAGTAAAGCGTATATGAGTGTTGATTAAAGAGAGGGAAATTCTTAGTGTTCACTTTAGGAATCTATGATGTTTTCTTTTTCTTTCGGCCCTCTCTCTCTCTCTCTCTCTCTCTCTCTCTCTCTCTCTCTCTCTCTCTCTCTATGTACGTACACTTACACTTTAGTTTTTGTCAGGTCGGTTGGTGCTTTTGCCTTTGTTGGTCAAGTATAAATGTACATGGACTGAAGAAAGCTAAAAGAGTAGTGTTGTGTTGGACCAAAGTAGTTAATATAATATGGGGATGAGTTCATGTCGTTACGTAATGAAAGTAGGACTTTGTCTCGTTTATTTAACCGATTTAAGTTTAGAATTTGAATTTTATTATAGTAAAAAAATTTTAAAAATAGTCACATTTAATTTTTTTGTTATAGTAAAAAACTCTCACATAAAATCAAATCTCAACTCGAATCAAAAACTCGAATCAACGAACTAAACGAGCTCAATTGTCTAATAAAGATGAGTTTTGGTATCAATTTGTTAGAAGAATTAACTATGCCAGCGGCGAATAAATACTTTTTTTTTTTTTGTTACAGTGTTGTTCTTTTGCAGTTTCTCTTGCATAAAATTTAATTTTAAACTAAGTTGTGAAAAAAATAATACCCCAAATAATAAATTAAGGATCTCGACTGTTGGATAAATCAGCGAGGCTCGGCCCTTCCCCAGCCGTTTGCTTGTCAAAAGCTTTATGCTAATAGTTATGGTGGGGATATATCATATTCTTCCTTTTACTTTCCAAAATATGTGCTTATTGGACAGTTTTGGTTCTTATTATTATTATTATTTTTTCCGGAAGCTACTTAGTCATTGCTTCAGAAAATGCATATATGTAACGATTAACGCGGATTAATGTTTTTTCTAGGACGATTTACTATTCGAACTCATCTGCAAAGTTTGCAACATCATTTATCTTATTGATTGAATTTTGTTTTTAGTATAATTTTATCCATCTGAAACTTATAAACGAAATAAATCTGTCATAAAATATCAAACGACAATGAGAGGTTACTAAGAGACAAATACATGAGAAGACATGAGAAATGACGACGTAAATAAAAAATGTCAAAAATCTTTTAAAAACGACAATAAAATAATAGAACGACGACAAAGAAAAAATTGGTGAAACTACGATTAACGACAATAGGCGAAAAACGACAACAAAAGAGGAAATAACAAAAATATTGGAAAAGTTAAAACAGGTAGACGACAAAGAATATAAATAGCAGCAATACAAGTATGAACGCGACAATGAAAGACAGAAGTTGGAATACGTAGCGAAATGCATAACCATGAAGATATAAAAAGGTAACACAACAGAAGAACTGAAGAAGACATTGAAAACAAAAACGATAACAAAAACTTAACACGGCAATCAAACAAGAATATAGATAATAATTGGGAAAACGACAATAAACTTGAGAGACAACGGAAATGGAGACCAACAATGAAAGTTTAAAATGATTAAAAAAAGGCTGAAAAATACTAATACTAATATAAATGAAAATCAAATCATTCAAAGCACAAATATATATATATATATATATATATATATATATATATATATATATACTCATTCCTTTGCCCTCCCCTGAACATTATATTTATTTCTTTGCTCCTAATTTTTAGAAACTTTCAATTCACTACTCTGAACATTGAATCAATCTCACTCTAATAACCTATTTTTTTGTTAAAAATTTCGTTAAAAATTTGGATATACCCAAATAAAAAGGCTCAACTTAAATTCCCCCAACTCTAATACCCTTTTCACTTTTCCCATTTAGCAAATAAGCTATTAATAATGCTTCATTTTTGTATTAAGTAGTATTATTTAAAATGAAATAGGAAAAATATCATTTCCGTATAGTGTACTCTAATACTTTATCGGGCCGGTTGGTAAGTCTAAAAAATACTTACTGAAACGATAAAAACCATTAAAAGGAAAATAAACTCAATAAAAAATAAGAAAACGAGAGCAAAAGATAAACGACAACAACATTAAAAAAGGATAAACGACAACAAAGAGAGAAGGACAAAATGACGTAAAAAAACAGCATGAGAAAATAAAAACCACAACACAAGAGAAGAACAACAAAACGACATCAACAACTGAAACGCAAAAAAGATTTTAAAAGGACAATAAAGCAAGAAAACGGCAACAACCAGAAAACGACAATAAACTTATTAAGCGACAACAGAAGCAGAGACCATTAATAAAACGACAGAAATCTATCTACAAAAAAGACTAGTAAAATAATTGAAAATACTTTGCCAAAGCCATCAAAACGACAACAAAACTAAATTACAAAATAAATTATAAACAACGAAAAAAATGAAGAAACGATAAGAATGAAAACAACAGTAATTCTAAAAAGACAGTAATAATAAAAAATGAGAAAATGAAGAAACTAATAATATGGCGAATAAATGAAAGCAATATTAATTTTAAAAAGGTGAAAAAGGTGGTAAAAATGCAAACGACAATGAAAACTAAACAACAAGAAACGACGATTAGAGGTGAAAATTCGGATCATCCAAACCCAGTATCTAAATTGAAAACATTTAAAAGATAGGTGTTTGACCCAGTCTGAGAAAACTTCCGGACTCGAAACCTCGTCTCGGCCTGGCATGGCCGGAGTTAAACAAGAACCATGTTTAAGCCAACAATGACGAGTCTCGGGACAAGCCAAACTGATACGTGGGAAGTTTTGAACTTGAAGGAAGATTAGACTCAGAAGAGGATAAACAAATGGGTTGGGTCTCAGGGCCCAGAAGACTATTGGGCTGCTGAAACATCTCAGGCCTAGGCCCAAGACAACCCTTCTCCAGCTGAAGCTCGACGTGCTGGATTAGAAGGAAGGTTCCAGAAAGCTCAAGAAGGAGAGGAGGGCGCAACGCGTGAGAGAAGGACGCGCAAGAGGCCAAGTTGGTTTGAGGATTTCGATATAGGGAAAAACCATTGAGAAGTGCGGAGCACCGGGGACGGGGGAGGATTGGCCTCAGCTAGGTTCGTTAGCAAATTGTTATTTTGTCGCTTTATTCAATAATCTGTTATAGGGGAATTCTGGGAAATGGGAATCGAGTATAAAGGGTACCATTGTTCGTTTGTGAAATCATCATGAAAATTGTGGGGACCTTTCTGTAGGAGTTTGGCACTGACTCAAAGAATGCATTATTCAATACAAACCGTTTACGTTTGTATCATTACTGCGTTCGTTGAGAGGATGAGGAACGAAGAGATAGTGGAGCTTATGAAGGCCATGGAGGCGAGTTTTAAGCAGCATTCCAATGACCAGTTGGTGAAGTTTTCGTTGTTATTGAAACAACATATGACCATCACCGATCAACGACTTTCTCAGCTGGCTCAGCCACAGCCGAGCCCAGGTCCGGCATTGGAGGTCACGGCGGGGGGAGGCCCTGCC